CGAATCACCCAGACCCAGCCTTCCGAAGCGAGAACAGCAGGGTAACGCTTCGGAAAGGCGCTGCAGAGTTATCAGAAAATTAACCAGCTACCTCTCCCGTGAAATTTCCACAGCCAACTCTTCCTTTTCTCTTTTCTCATTTTTTCTATTTTTTCTTCTTAACAAGCCTCTCTCCTACCTTTATAATCTCTCTTATCTTGCACAGGTGTTTTCGTCTTAAAATTACTGGTTATACTCGTATCAGTCTTTCACACGGATTTCAAAAGTGCAGTCCCTTCTGACCTTCTACGACGCAACACACTTTCCAACCATTTAATCTTATTTTCCTTAACTATCGGGTGCTCTGTGAGAAAATACAGATACCTTGGTAACACTTGTTTCTTTTCGATGGATCCCATCCTTTTTGGATTTGTTCGAGGGGTATGAACGTTATGATGTTTGATATGACGTTTTATGATAGCAAAGGTGCTCAATTTTAGTGTCAATGAGAAACAGATAACTTGACAGATGACTTAACAGACTTAATATGACCCTTGTGTGGGCAATTGAGTTGCACATTTTTGGATTTTTTCAATGACCTATGTTTTTTTAAAAGTATAGAAAAATCGCCATTTTGGATAAGTTTATGTTGATTTATACTTTTCAAATAAACGTTCTATAAGATATTTAAAATATCGGATTTTTAGACTTATCTGTACTATATTAGAAGTATAAAAGAAATATAGAAGTATAACAGAAGAGAAGTTTATTGTGTCGGATTTATTTAGTATGTACTTTTTTCTATTAATTATTAATTCATTAATAAAACAGGAAAATAAAATAGTATTTGTACATTCGGGAGCTGACTCTTAATTATTGGACAGCGATTATATATTTCTTTTTTTTACTATTATTGAATAGAAAGAAAGGGAAACGATATTTAAACATTCGAGAATTAACTTGTAACTAGTGGAAAATGGATATATAAATAGTATTTGTACATTCGGGAGCCGACTCTTAATTATTGGACACCGATTATATATTTCTTTTTTTTACTATTATTGAATAGAAAGAAAAGGAAACGATATTTAAACATTCGAGAATTAACTTGTAACTAGTGGAAAATGGATATGCTCGCCACTGCGCCATCTGTGTGCAGAGTTGAGAACAGTACACGCATGCGTGTACGACTTTCACGAGAAATATTTTCTTCTTTTTTTCCATCCTTTTTTTGTAGTTTCATTTTGCATTTACAAGCAATTCTGTTAAGCTGTGGAGTGTAAATAAAATTGAAGAGTTTATTTTTTAAAATAGAGTATTTTTTCCGATTATAGTATTTTCATAGTTTTCGTTTTTATTATAGCATCATTCTATATCAAAACTAAAGTTCGTGGATAGGTTTTCCAAATTAAACAAAATTTTAATTTCGAATATTTAAAAATAATTTTTGCAGATAAGTCCCTCCGCCAAAAGAACTTCTCAATTATATTATGGTTTCTAGTAATTTCTAGTAATTTCTTCACTCCAATTGATCGCGTAAAACGGTATTTGATACGTTATCAGAAAAAAGCAAGAATTTCAGAAAAATATGAAAGTTGTTTCTAATTAAACAATTGTGAACATCTTGATTGCTCACACAAGGATTATTGTAACTATATTGATCAACGAGATAAATAGAATTATTTTTGAAAAGTCTAGTTACCAACAAGAGTGGATTGAAATCATCTTCAATCTCCTATGAACTGAGTGAATTAATAAGCCATTTTAGTCAACTTGTTATTATAGTCTTTACAATATTTTATAGATAATCCAATTTGTGATTTTGCTGTAATTTTTTGGAGCAGTCTTAAGATGGGAGTTTTATTATATATTTACCAGTGATTATGAAAGTGGTCTAAATAAAAAATTTAAAAAATTAATTTTATTTCGTATTTTATATTGTTTTCAATTACATTGCAAAGTGACAGAAAATTGAACCGATAGATCGAGTTTATAGCTTCGTGGTAATTAATTTTTGAATTTATAATATGTTTAAATCGCAAAACTTAAAAAATTTCGAAACAAAATATTTTGACTTAGGCTACTTACATAATCATAGGTAATTTGGATGGTTCGGAATTACCAACATGACTTCGAATTCATATCCCAATCTGCTTCTTTGATTTATTTTGTCCGTGAATATTATTTTCAAAATTTTCGAGCCATCCAATAGGACAATGATTTTTGTTGGTTCGCAACAAGCTTAATAGGGTATTTGTAGCTGAGCAATCATGCGAATTAGGATCTATATGTTAACAATGGTCAACAAAGTGCACAGATTTAAAAGACAGTGCAAAGATGTTGAAAAATAATATAAATAAAAATTTGTGACACAATGTACACTAGGTTACGAATTTTTCAATCCACCCTAGTGATTGTAATGCACAAATTCGTAATATATTCAATTCAAAAAGTGGAAAATAATTCTTTCACTCGAGCAATACTAAGATTGGATTACTTTATAAATATAAAGTTGATTAAAAAGCCCAATATGAATTAAAAATTGAATAAAAGTAAATTGGAAAAATGAAAATAAAAAATATGAAAGTAATAAGATTTTAAGAAAATTAAGGATTTTAGGCAATGACGACGTGTCTACGAATATAAACATCGTTTAGTAGAAACTTTAAGAAAATTAAAAAATATATTAAAAATGAGGTGCACAAATGTAAGAAATATAATAAAATATGATACGTAAGTACTTAGTTCATGCAAATAGTAAAAAGGAAACTATATTACATATCAAAATTGTAATTATTAAAATGAAAGTGACTAAATTACGTTAAATCATATTTTTTGAATTTTCAAATTTTACAAAATTATTTATTTAATTATCCAGTAATTAAGATTACATTTCTTTCATTTTCATCTAATACTTTATTTTAAATACATGTTCAAGATCAGAAGCTGTTATAGATCATTATAAGCTTGTATTTAACTGATATAAATAAAGTACTTTCATCATCCATCTCTTTGATACTTCATGTGAAAGGACCTAGTATTGCGAGAGTTATGATTAATTTCAAATTAGTCAGTTGATGCATACTATATATATTTATATGAACCTTTATGAAAATTCTAATCAAATATGATATTCGAAAAGCAGTGTATATGATTTGTACATGATTCATATGCGTATTAATATGATATACTGCGATATGAGTCTTGAAAAATTACTTTTAAATTAAATCGATATGTAATAAGAAAATTACGTTTAAAATTATTCGATATATCTAATTGTACATATATAAATATATTCAATTTGATATATTCAAAGTACTTGTATTTTCTGTACAAAGGTACAACCAAGAAATGGTAATTCAACGTGAAAAATAATCGATAAAGGAAGCTAAATACGGTTTTATAAAAATTAATTTTAAGAATATTAATAACAAAAATTGTCTAGTACACGAATATCGTATAAACACATTTTACAGACTTCTTCATACTTCACTAAGACTGTATAGCGTACAGTATATAGATATTTAGTACATAAGTATTATATAGACAGTAATTACAAAATTTCTGGAGAGACAAGTCGAAATTTTAGAATAAGTACTTTGCAAATCTTAATCTTAAAACAGAATTAAAACGATTCTATGCTATATCGTTAAAACTTCGTTGATTCGAGTGCTTTTTATTTTCTACGTCTTTTCTATCATAGAATGGAAAAATTTAAAGGATTTGACTCGTCAACCTCAAAGTAGAATTTTTTAATTACAATTTGCTTTCTTTGTCATTATGAGAATATAATATAAATAAATTCTGATATGATATTTCATTACGTCTAACTTTCGATTAATTATAATCAACTAGACTTAATATTTAATTATATTTCATGTCGCGGTAAAGCCTTTAATTGCAAATCTGATAAAAATACAAATACAATTCAAGTATAATGATAAAAAGAAAAAAAGAAAAAATAAAAACTAGTAAATGTTTGAAGCAAAGATCTGTTTCGAACAAATAAATATAAATAAAAAAATAAATAAAAAAAATAAAATAAAATACTGTAATTTTGATTCTATGATATATTTTAATCGTGAAACCTTTTTGCAAATCTTTTATACCGTTACGGATCGCGTTTATAATTCTTGTTCTACAAGTTCGATCGCTAGATTGCCGAAGATTTTCAATAAATACGTCGCCGAATAGATTTAACCCTATTGAAAGGTTGACAGCTTTAGTCTCTCAACTTTGGTGGAAAACACACCTTTTTATAGTGAACAACCGATTGTTATTTTGTCCGAATATTTTGGAAGGTGCTGGATTACTCATCCCTGAAGTTACCATCCGCTCTGTTTACTTACAATTAGCCGAATATTGGGTAAATATGAAAATCTCGTAACAATACGTTATCTGCGATATCGTAAGAAAATCCAACTCGAATGAATTCGTCCTTCGTGCCAAATGACTCATCCAACTCCACTTTACAATCTATATACATTCCTTCCAATTTAAAACGAATCTAATCTCGATTGTAAACTTCTCCCTTTGACGACTTTTATCAGCTGTGCCAATTCGACGAATCTTCGAATCTCGTTTCGCGAAACTGAATCTATTTTTTTCCGAATAAACAGCGAAAAATATTTTCCACGAGAAATTACCTTTACGAACCACATTTCGCGAAACTTAATCCGCGCTCTTCGGAATAAATAACCAAAAATATTTTCCACGTGGAATTACCTCTATCTTGATTGCACTGCATATCACGCAACACTCCGTACATAACCTAAATCTGTGATTAAATTCTAATAAAAACAGCATGCATCGAGGAGTATAACGAACTTTAAGCCCTGTGATAAAAGAATTCGTTGGAATTTCTCGCTAGAAGATCCGCGACACGCCTCAAAAGCTCGAAAAGTCGTACACTGAGATGAAACTCAAGAAAACGAACTTTCCAAGTAGCAACACGCACTTGGCGATCCAGGAGGAAATAGGTCGCTGATAGAAACGCGGTTTACTTTGTGATTCACACTTACTGTTAGCCTGCGGCGATGGCGGGGAATCGTCGTAGTCCGTGGCGCCATCTTCGCCGTCACGCGCGCCATCTGCCTGCTCCGTGTCCTTCACTCGTAAGTCCTCGGCAGCCATATCCTCGTCGAGCTGTTCTCTAACCTCGTTACTCATTTTCTTATGAATTACCTCGTGTACGTTCTCGGGAATTTCGACTTGGACCATTTTAGATACCTTAACGTCGCCGGGAACGTCATTGTCAAGGCGAACGTTGTTATCGTTATTGTCATTATTGTCATCGTCATCGTCGTCGTCGTCGTCATCGTCGTCATCGTCGTCGTCGTCATCGTCGTCTTTGTGCAAATTGTTCCCGGAGATCGGTCCGTGGGTAACGTTGGCATTGGCGTTCAGGTTAGCGTTAAGGGACTCGTCGACGTTCGTATCGTCGAGTACGTTCGAGTGAACGAAAAACTCGTGTTGGAGGAGATCCTTAACGGGTATCGTGGCGACATCGTCGATGGCGTCTACGTCAGTTTCGGGCCCCAGATCCGAGTAATCGTAATCCGCGTCGCCATTTTCGTGCTTTCCGTTACTGGGCGCTAGAATCCCGTCATCCTCGTGATCACGGGGCTCTTGTTTGATCATTGTCTGTTTCAGGATGTTGGAGTTGATCGCGTTATGCGCGTCGTCGATGTCCAGGAACAGCGGTTTTTCCTCCGAATTCATTGTTTGCGACCTGGACGTGATCACGCTGGCTGGGGTTAACAGGACCACTATTACGGTGATGTTATCCCCCGAACCTAGGCGTTTCGCGGACTCCAACAGGGCTTGGTACACGCGGTCAAGGTTCTCTGAAACGTTAAAAAAATACCCTTGTTAGCTGAATGGCGTATTTTCATTTAAATTTTTGATTCATTTCTTGTCGCGTTAGGACAAGGACTTTTCATTCTACAGACTGTGATATGCGAATTTATAACGAACATAATTTTACACGCGTAAGTTGATTCGTTGATCCTTGACGTGTCGATAGAGCAATATTCTACACAGGTGATTTGCTGACTAGGCTATCTAATTGACTGTAGACTAACGATATAATTTTTGTTTGTATCTACAAGCGTGTTAGGTGACAAACAACGCGAAAGAAAGGTATCGTATTATACGTATTATAAGTAACTATTGTTTCAGACTTTCTGAGAAGAAGATATCTTAAGAAGAGAAACGTATTTTTACATTTGATATAACACAAATATGCGAGCTTCGATATTTTCAAACAAGAGGTCCTACATTTTTTGAACCTTTATAAGAGCCTGTAAGTTATCGGATGGAAACACAGTCACGCCATCTAGTCTTTAAGGTCTGGGACTATGAACTGGACCGTTTAGAACTTAAAAGTAGGTGTTGAATTAGAAAGGGAGCCGGGTAAAAATTGATGCGTGGGTAAAGTAAAACTCGCCATATCGCAACAGAGGTTAAAGGCTTTATTCTATAAACACTTGAGGGAACATGTCTGACAGTGTATCTTCTGGACAACTGATTCAAGACTATTAGGTTTTCTTCCTTAGTGGAAAAAGCTCTTCCACTATATCTAGACCCTCCTCGACCATGTCGTAAATTCATTACGTCTATTCCAATAGTAGGATTTTCTGAAGGAATTAGGAGCATCGGACTATTCCTCCTGTGTCTATGCCGTTCAGTTCGTAGGAACCTAACCAACCGTTCATTTTGTACAGTAGTTTACGTTTTAGCTAATATGTTACTATCTTGTAAATTTCCGGAAAAAATAGTTGATTAAAACTTGGAAAGAAAATAGAAAATGCGTAAAAATATCTTTTGTTTATTTTATCTATGTTTATTTTAGCAATAATACGAGACTGACAGAATTTCTCTACAGAGAATTTGAACGAAGAGTGTTAGTGTCAAGGAACAGATATACGAACGAAGAATGTTTGAAGTATGAAAGTATGAAAGAAGAGTGCTTGAACCAGTTGTCAGAAATTATTACACGATCGAGTACTAGTTTGTTTTCTTAACTTAAATTAATTATTTTAGCAATAAATAGTATGGAAATTCTTACAAAATTTATTACCTACAAAATATATCAGGCATATATATACATCTATTTTCTATCATTGCAATCTAAATTTAATATTAAAGTACTAATTTTTTTTTTTATTTTATGATACTTTTTATTATATTAAGTATTAAATAAATAATAAATAACTGCTTCTTGTAATTATAACATGGCTCTACAAATATGTATAATAAAAAAAGAAAAAAATTATTCAAATAAATATTATTCGGTTTAACGAGAAGCTACCTCGATAACGAAAAGATGAATATAACCTCCCATTTAAAAAAATATTCGGTGCCCCTTTTTTCCTACAGTAATTGCCCCAGAAAAGTTTATTCGCAATTATTGGTAATTACATTTAGATTAAGAAATTAAGCCCCCCCCCCCTTTTCCTGTACCTCTAAATTATAATAAGAATCGAGTCTATATCTCCGTTAAATTCTGAGAATACGGCTTGTAAAATTCATTTAGTACACCCTGTATATGCGTTATGCTCGCATTGGATATCACCATGTCTCTCGTACTCTTTCTTTCTGCTTGCATCAGAAAAATTCTCAGAAGTCACCCGCCCAGATAAACGTCCACATATGGTTGTGAACTGCGGCCACTAAAATGGGGACCACTGAATTTTAAATTAAGCAATACTTTTATAGGTAACCGGGATATAAGATATATCGAAGTTACGATACTTCGCGTAATTTTATATTTTACATCACGTATAATAATAAGACCATAATTAAAATAATATCAAATATTTATATAATTACTCATAAAAAGAACTAATAATAAGTATCTCTATATTCATTCATAAAAATAACTGAATTGCACAATTGATTAGCCGTATAATTCTTAAGAATTATGGTTTTGAAAAATTTCGAGTATCAATTGACCGCTATATGTGTATTTGTACGTATTATATATTTTTTCCTAGTGCACGTTGTTTATATTCATTATTTGTATGATTTTACGTATGACCTGTTTTCTCGAACATCATTAATTATAGTTGCAAAATTCTTTTGAGACATTTGACGGTATTCTGGTTCTTTTTGGCATTTACGTTGCTATTGTGTTGAAACGCAGCATTGCAATAATATTGTAATTAGTAGTATAAAAGAGGAGGAATTCACTCTAATTTTATTAAAATAATGCATTTTCTATTTTTGTAAAAGACATGTTACATAGTACACGAATTACAATGTTATTTTACTGAAAATAAGTGTTTCTCACTGTTTATAATTGTTATTACAAATTCGATAGAAAATAAATAGATAATGTTTTGAATATTTGTTAAGCTAATATAACATAATTAATCTATTTTTATTTAATTATTTAATAAAGTTGGACTTTATTACATTTATTTGTAATAAAATAGAAATTTTTTAAGTACAAATTACAAATATCTATAAAACTATTTATACGGAGATTAATTAATATTTTATTTATTATTTACTATAAACAAATTTTATTTTACTATTCGCTTATCATTTGTAGTAAACGAATTTTAAAATAAATATTATTTATTCCTATAATACAAAATGACGTTGAATTATAAAACGCAGAAATTTATGCACTAATCATCCAATAAAAGTGACTTATAAGTAGTTTGTTGTATGAAAAAATGTTTTAAATAAAAATTGTTTGGTATCAAGAGTATGTAACGTAATAATTAATTTTTCGTCAGTTTGCGCTTTAATCAAACTACAAAGCTCAGCTTAAATATCGTAATCAATATAATAAAAATTATTATAAAAATTAGTAATTACTGGCTTTTAACCCTTTACACTCGAGAGGTGACTCTCAGTCACCATTTAATCAGATTCTAAAGATCGACGTTAATTAATATATCAAATTTAAAATTACCTAACGGTGTGTGGAATATCGAAGAAAAATAATTCTATGTCTTAATTTGCATATGATTTCTCATTTACCATTTTAAGTCTTCGAATTATTATTTTTCTGTAATGAAAAAGTCGTCGAGTGCAAAGGATTAATAGTTTTTAACTCAGAATTTAGTACTTCTTGGAATAATATTATGCAATGTATACTATTATATTATAACTGGCAAAATTTAATGTCATTTTCATATTTTGATAAACACTAGAAAAGAAGTGCAAAAGAAATAAACCATTACATTGCTACAATATATAATAATTTTCATTTGCAACGTGTTTTCGATAAATAATTTATAAGCAAATTACGATGACGCAGTTGATTGACCCGTGTAACATAATTAATTATACATTCTAAATCGACAGAAACATAATCGTGTACCCATATTTACGAAATAACACTTTTGCAATACATTTATTATTCATTATTTAATTACGAAACTTTCTAATATAGAGGCACGCTTGTATGACAAGATTGCACGTTTAAAGACATTTAAGGTATAATAATGGTCAATCTATTCCATCCACGTACGGTCAACAATTCTAATTAAATAAAAAGTGTAACTGACTTTGTAATTATATCGTTCCGATAGTGGAAAAAAAGTGGTGTTGTAAGAAGTGGAATCTCGTTAAATCATTAGACGTCTTCCTCTCTTGCTTATTTCCAATTATAATTGAGGAAGGGACGTGACCTATCACAATTGTGTGATTCATCTAGCGGCTATCGTCATTGCATAGTGGACGAGTAGCTAATGTAGCGTGTTAAGGTATGTGCATTTTGCATGAATAATTAATTTATAGCTTTTCCCTTTTAAAATCGAAAAATTTATTTTTATCTTATCTTCTATCGAGTCACTATTTATGAGTTAATTAATTAAACATTAATTCAAATTTGCATTTGCAACTTCTATTTCACTTTAATTTGGTTTCAATTTTATTATTATTTTCTGCAATATTTTTACAGCAGTAGAATAGCTTATATAATTACAAATTATACAAAGCAACATTTATCGATAAGAAGGTTACGATATGGATAATTTATTTTTCTAAAATATTACACGAATTTTTTAATATTAATTTTTCACTTACTTAATTTCTCTTAATGTTGTTTAAATATGAACACGTGAAGTATTGTTCTGTCATGTGTATTTATATACTGCTAAATTTAGTATATCTATTTAGCATACACTTAGTGCAATATATTTGATATATTTAGTACATTTAGTATCTTCGATATATAATAAATATAATAGAGATAAATAATAGTAATTGAATAAATACGATAAAAATAAATAGTTATTTATAACAACTTTTCTATTTCAATTTAAGTTAACGTTCGTTCTACGAAGAACAACTACGTATTTTCAATATTAAACTTGATAATATCAATACTAAACAGTAATAAGCTTGAAAAATAAAAAATGCTAATTTTTCAGGAAATAATAATCGAGAAATAAAATTTATTATTCAAGAAACCAGTCAGTTTCGTCAATTTAATTTTCCTGGTATCAAATTACTTATACTTATCGACAAAAGTTAAAAAGCAATACAATCGTGTGAAAATTTTTATATACTCTTCTTTTTCATCAGTTTTAATTTTAATCTCCGTTTTTCAGAAAATAAAATATATACAAAAATTCGCGTGTCATTCTATTTCGATTATGTTTCTGTGATATCGAGTTATAATTGGTTTGTTTATCGATGTTCCTTCAATTTATAATACAGCTATTTATAGCACGTGAATCAGAGCTGATAACCATGATTCATATAGACCGAAACGCCACGATGCAAAATTACGTAATTATAATTATTATATTGCCGGTCTACCGCGTGATGTAATACTGCACGTGCAACAGTGAAAATATAATACAATAAGGAACATTAAGAAACA